ATTAAACAATTAAATTCATTATTTCATTCAATAATTCAAAGTCATTTCTCTTAAGTAGTCATTGTTTTAGATTGTTATAAATTATCAGTTAAAAATTTTAAAATAACACTTTGAAACATTAGTGAAGAGAATTTATCGTTTAATCGTTGCAAGTAAATTGTCAGAAATATTAGATAATGTTTAAACAATTAGAATATTCAGAAATAATATTGAATAATTCACTTCGAAAGTTTAATCGATGTACACACGACGAAGGTTGAACTTAATGACTTTCTTCGCTGCTTAACCGTCACGTGGATAGTGTTTGTCAATACCTTCAAAAACACTTTTCCTATTACATGTATTTCGTTAAAATTTTACAGTGTTACAGTTTTATTGTTTTGTCTGTGATATGTAATACTAATTTGTGTAAAAAAAAATAATTATATTACAGTCAAAAATTGAATTGGTCGTTTTTTAAGAAAAGCTATGTAAATCAGAAAGCGTTCACATTTAAGTCGGTATCAAATAATTTTCGATGTAGATGTAACATTATTCCACAGACGAGGTCGGTTGAGCTTGAAATCGGATGCGAAAACATACGAAAAGTCCTCTAACTCGCCTATTTTGCTAGTTTAATCATTTCGTCGAGTCGACGGACGGAATAGTAATGTGGCAATCGTGTGAAACTTTTACCTACGCTTTCGATAGGAAATCTGTAACTTGTCTGTTCCCCTTTAACTTGCTTTTTTTTATCATTACGTACATTATTGAATTAGATGAATGAGAAGACTGACTGCTCTCTCATTGATTTCGATAATTTTTGGATATATTGTGAAGATATTTTAGATGTATTGCGAAAATATTTTGAACAGTTTTTTTCTTTTAACAGGTATATCGGATTTTGTTTGTTAGATGAAAGGGTCGTTCAGGACATCGATTTCTAAATGATAGAGATCGTCGAAATCCATAAAGAAGTGGTGGTTAATTTACAAGTTCACCGGTAATTAGAATAGAGAAAAATATGAATGAGAAATATTTTATAAACTTATGAAATCTTAATACTAACATATCGTTAGATCACTCATACTTTATATAATTTTTATTAACAATGTATTATTATTTTATTGACAATTTTTTACACAATAAATAATTTCGGTTCTTGAAGACTCAACTCAGTGAATTCATCTTAACAAGTAACATCATATTATAAAAAAGAAGATATGTGTATGGTATCGTTTAAGAAAATAAATTTGACTTTAAAATTTCGAAACGGATGATTTGTAAGAAATAATTTACAACACACAGTGTGCTTCTTCATTTCAAGCAATATTTGTAGAAATATTTTTTTGATAAGTTCAGTCTTTCATAAAATCGAGTTTGCGGGATAAAAGTAATTCATTCAGGCTGTGAATTTACATATTTGTAAATAAAACAATGTTATATCTAATTATATTAATCACAAAAATATTGCAAGTCGAACAATTCTTTCTAATTTTTTTAAATAGATTTTTTAAATAGATGTAATCGAATATATGCTAAATTTTTCTTCCTAATTTTCATTAATCTCTGTTTTAAATCGTTATATTTCTTCATTGATAAAGTATCACACGTTCAATTTAATAAATAATTCTCGAAACAGATCTGGCAAGGCTGTCCATATTTTTTGATTTTAATTCTCATCACTAGTAGTGCTGCGGTGCAAAATCTGCCTGAATCGGTACGATAGGATGTGACATAAAAATGGTAATCAAAAATACATTGTTGAAAAATACATTGTTGAAAATTTTGCTAGTTAAAAATTTATACATAAAACCATGTATTAATAATTTAAAAATTTTTCTATGTATTGAATGTAATTTACTATGTATTGAAAAGAGTTATAACAAGTCCGTAAAATATGGACAGACTTCTTTCTGATATAGAGTAGAATGATTTCGGTTACTTCGTTTATGCTTACTAGCTTCACAATTCGGTATTGAAAGTTTGACAACACTGTAATGAGTTTCAAAATCATGTTGCTGTTTCATTCACTAGTTCCCCAACTCACCGTTGTCTAAATGTAGAGTGCGCTAAAAAACCAGTGATTTTTTAGTGTGTCGGTATTTCAGGTCACGGACCACGGAAGTCCGCAAGATGCAATGTCTATTCACATGCACTTCGTCTGTGCATTGACTAACTAGCTCAATGATTATATCATTGACTAAGAATAGGATGAAGAAAAAGCATTGGATGCCCAGTCTATCCTTTTAGTCAATGATTGTATGCAATGTCTATTTATATATCTCTTCTGTGATTTTACCTAACCAGCTTGTACCATTTTGTTCGACATAGTTCTCCAATTTCCACCTTTATTTAACGTAGAGTGCGCTAAAAAACCAGTGATTTTTTTCCTGGTCGGTATTTCAGATTCTGAGACACGAAACATGTCCGATTTATCCTCTTATTGTTAGTCAATGATCTACTTGCAATTGTAGACTAAATGTAATGAATAACGTAATTCTAATTGCTGATAAAAAGTTTGTTTATTAATTAATATTTTCTTTATTTTAAAATATCATGTTGATCTTCAAGTATACATTAATACTGATATAAATATAGATTAAGGATAAAACAACGAACGAGAGAGAGAGAGAATGTTAAAAAACATTTTCTCTCTTTTTTTTTCATTACACATTCAAATGAAATAGAATAAATTTTGAGAACGACTTTAAATCTCAAGGCTTGCTGACTTTATGATCCAGACACGGCGAACGGCTATCGTGGCGAAATATCTCGCAATCATGATCAATGACTCGAATTCTTATTCGTGACTATGCAATGTCACGAATGTCTATTCGAATACGTTGACAAGCTCAAGGTCATGGTTATTATCACAAACAAGTTACTGCTATGAGGAATGCGGAATATAAATAGAATCAAGATGCCACAATCTATGTGGTACAATTGATCGGCATGTAAATGACCTTAAAATAAAACTCTATCACGTCGAATCCACGGTATTTTACATCCGATTTATTGTATTTGCTATAATTTTATTCCAAACAGTTCACAAATAGAATTTTTTTTCTATTAAATCGCAATCTTCTGTATAAATTTATCGTATATGAATCTTTTCTCCCGAAGAATAAATTGTAGCGTTAATAATCTATGCTATATAAAAAAATTAAATCATCGCAGATTTTGTTTTCTTTTGTTTTCTTTTATCTACTAAGAGAGAATCTTGTTGCTTTGAAAAAGCTCTTGGCATGCATTTTACGGAGCATAAAGAAGACCACTGAAGACATTTTCGTTAGCATCATTCAATAGTTAGTACAATTAGGAATCATTTTAAACACTACTGAAGATAGGTTCAATGATTATACAATTAGTTAAATAATTACATACGAATCACACAAATGAATAAATAATCAATAATTGATTAAATGGCAATTGATACGAAAATATCTTTTATTTCTACAACATTTAATTATTAATATTTAATTTAATATTTAATATAGTCTGGTATAGGATAGTCTAGTTATTATTTTAA